CCCCCGCCACCAGCGGATGGATGGCCGTCGTCGTCGGACAGCAAAGTGGGTGCTCCCGGGACCGGTCTGTCCTGCGGGCGGGCCCCCTGTCGAGCAGGGGGGTGAAATGTCAGGGGTAGGTCCACTTATCCAGCGTGGGCTGTCTAGCTACGCTGCGCCGTGGGTGAGATGTGGGACAACCTCCGCCCCAGCGGAAGTTGCCCCTAGGCATTACGGCCTGAGCCAGGCGCGGCGAGGTGAACTGGCCCCTCAGGGACACGAGCAGGGGGCGGGAGGGACGGAGCTCGTTGACCAGCCGCGCCAAAGGTGCTGAGGCGGGTCTGCCCGGCACGGATAGCCCTGGGTGTAAGAGTCATCCCTTGTCCACCATCGGGCGCGCTTGTCCGCGCACCGGTCGCCCCCCCTGGGGGAGTACCGATTGCCCTTTCTAATACGTGTCCGTCCATGGGGCTTCATGCCGATCCCAAGAGCTCCACTCCTGCCAGTCCTGCCACTGGCTGGGGGCGGCTGTGCCGATGGCACCGGCCCAGCGGTCCTGTGCGGCTGCAGCAGTGGCCGCTCTGCCCTCTGCTGTCCATGGGGCGGGCCTGCCGCTGCCGCCGTAGTCGCGTTGGGCGTGCGCACGGGAATCGCGGCGCATGACTTTCATGTGCCTGTCCCTGACAGCTGCCCATTTGACGTTGAGCCCCAGCTCGCTGTCCATTTTGTAGGCGTCGTGCCCTGCGTCACTCCATGCTTCGAGGACTCCAGTGCACGACTGGACTGCGTTCAATTTGGGGTTGTTCTTCTGGCTTCCGCTGAGCTCCTGCCTCAGGGCAACCCTCTTGACCTATGCGGCCCACACTCCATTGAAAGCTCCTCCCAGCGTCTTTTGCAGGCGTATAATATTATCCTGCACTGGTTCCTTTCTTTCCACGTCTGCAGCTGCTACGGTGCACATGTAAATGGGAATGCCTCCCATGGGGTCGTTTGGGTCTTCGCGGGGCGGCTGTACGATCCTTACGTCTCTCCAGGGCGCCCCGTGGATCTCCACTCGCGAGGGGTTGCCCCTTGGCTTTTTGGCGGCACTTCCTTCTCCGTCCTGGGCGTCTTCCGACGCGGGCCGGTGGCGGCCCTTGCCCCCAGCCGCGCGGCTGAAGGTGCGGTCGTCCCTGGCACCCATGATGTCCCAGGTTGAGCTGCTTACTCTCTTTGGGCTGTCTCTTGCCCTCCTAACTTCACGGGTGGCAGCACGATCGACAGTCCGTTCGTACGGGGTCCAGGCATCGGGCCTGGTGGGCGGGCTCTCAAAGGCGTTGAGGGGGTCGGAGGAATCCTCCTCCTCTCCTTCGTCCGCCACTGGTGTCGGGCTAACCGCCGGGCCCGTGTCTTTGGCTGTGTCTGACTCGCTTTTCTTGTCCTCGTCCCAGTCGACCCCTTCCGGTTCGCCCTCGGTTCTGCCTGTCTGGTTGGAGGGGCCTCTTCCTTCCGTCGGAGGACCGTCGTCCCCGTCGGCTCCTGGGGCGTGGGGGTTTCCTCTGGAAGCGCAGTCAGGAGTAGCATCCCGCCCAGGTCCGTGGCTGACTGCTGGGGGGGTGTCTGCGGCCTCGCCTGCTCTGTTCAGCCAGGTTGCTACTGGGGCTCCAGCTGCCGCTGCGGAGTCCGTGTCTGTCTCGCGCGGGCCTCGGTCGGCTAGCACGCTGATGGTTCCGTCGGCGAGGGCAGCGCGGTCAATCCCCATAAGGTATGTCAACAGAGTGCTGAGCCGCTGGCGGAGGGGACACTGGCCTCGCTGTTCAGCCAGGTTGGCAGCGTAACTGCACCACATGGCCTCGCACATCCCACTGGACTTTGTCAGGTGGTAAACCACTCGTGCCGCCGCGGCCCGTTGGCCGTCCCATGGGATGTTGGGGGGGGGGGGGGGGCAGTTGCTGGGGATCGTCTCTCCGAAGATCTTGACCAGGAACTGGCGGAGACGCCCTGGGGGCCACGACCCTTCATCAGTCTTATCACCTGTTATCCCCTCACCGTGTTGCAGCACGTACTCCGTCCATCGCTTGTAAATGGAGGGATTCCACTCTAGCAGGTACTTCACCAAGGAGCGTATGGCGCCCACGGATTCCACCCCGGTGAGCCTGGAGGTGGAGTGGGTTGGCAGGGCGGGCCCCTCTGGCGGGGAGATGTCGGGGAACAGGGATTTAATGTCCCGTGCAGCTTTTCCTGACCCGTTGCTCTCCCCTACTGTGCTGTCGTGGTCCGCGCTAATGGGGGTTGGCTCACCGCTTGTGGCTGGTTGCCTTGAGTACGTGTCCTTGGCAGCGTTTCGTACTGTCCAGAATATGCGTTTCGTACTGTCCAGCCTCTCCACATTGGCCTCCAGCGGCCCCACGAGGGCCCCAAGACAGCCCACGAGGACCCCGAGCGGGGGGGGGCCGTGGGTCCCAAGAAACACCAGATGGTTTCCCGAAAACCAAAGAAGGACCTGGGGCACCCAGCGCGTCCAACACGGCTCGACCGACGGACCATGATGACCTCCACTGCCTTCAAGACGGTTAAGATGAACCAACACTCGACTCGAAATAGCCCAACTATTCCTCCAAGGCCCCCAAGACGCCCCCATGCGACCCCAAGAGAAGGCTTCAGGAGCGTTTCCTTCTAAAAACCGTCCAAAAACCTTCCTCCGAAAGGTTGTTGGAAGGTTGTTGGAGGATTCCTCGAAAAAAACAGCCAAAATCTACCTCAGGAAGGTTTCAGGAGGGTTTCCTCTTAAGAACCTTCCACAAACCTTCATTGGGAAGGTTTCATGCGGGTTTCCTGCTAAAAACCTTCGAGGATTCCTTCAAAAAACGTTCCAACATAAAATCCTCATGAAGGTTTCAGGAGGGCTTCCTCCTAGAAGCCTTCAAAAGACCTTCCTCAGGAAGGTTTCAACAGGGTTTCCTCCTAAAAACATTCCACAACCCTTTTTCAGGAAGGTTTCAAGAGGCTTTCCTCCGGAGGGCTTCCTCCTAAAAAACTTCCAAACACCTTCCTCCGAAGGCTTTTGCAAGGTTGTTGGAGGATTATTCCAACAAACCTTCCGAAACCATTCCTCAGGAAGGTTTCAGGAGGGCTTCCTCCTAAAAACCTTCCAAACACCTTCCTCAGGAAGGTCTTTGGAAGGTTTTTGGAGGAAGGTTGTTGGAAGGTTTTTGGAGAATTCATCCAAACAACCTTCCACAAACCTCCCTCAAGAAGGTTGTTTGGAAGGCTTCCTCCTGAAAACCGTCCAGAAACTTTCCTCAGGAAGGTTTCAGGAGGGCGTCCTCTGAAAAACCATCCAAAAACCTTCCTCGGAAAGGTTGTTGGTTGGAGGGCCCCTCCAACAAATCGGTTCAAAAACCTTCCTCAGGAGGGTTTCAAGAGGGTTTCCTTCTAAGAATCTTCCCAAAAACTGTTCAGGAAGGTTTTGGAAGGTTCCTGGAGGATTCCTCCAAAGGACCTTCCAAAACCTTCCTCAGGAAGGTTTCAGAAGGGCTTCTTCCTAGAAATCTCCCATCACATCAGCGAAAGGGAAGACAAGAGCCAGAGGCTCTGCCGGAGATGGACACGCACGCGGAGAGACGCAGACGCACGCGGGGATGAAGGCAGGCAGAGATGGAGGCAGAGGCAGAGGAAGGGGGAGAACCTCATCAGTGGTTGCGACGGCGAAAAAATCCTGGACTGGTCTTCCGACGCCGTGCTCTTCTGCTCGCGACCCGGGCACCCCAGGCCTCGATCCCCCCCCGCCCCCCGGATCGGGGACGCACTTACCCAGGTCAGTGCCAGCCTGGGCCAATCAGTCGGGCTGTGCAGGCTCCTGCAATCTCCTGCAGGACCCTGCAGAATCCTGCGCGCAAGCCCGAGTCCAAGCACCCCTGGCTCTGCAGGATCCTGCAAAAAATCCGGCACTCTGGCGGACACCCCGTCCGCATGGACCCCCGGCCCGTAATTACAGCTCGACGGCACTGGCCCGCATCGCTGCCGGGGCTGGGCTGCTGCATGGCCCTGGAGGGGGGGCAGCGGGCCTTGGCGGCGCGCACAAGGGGGGTAGGGGAAGGGGGGGAGGCTTCTTAGAAGGAGGCTGATTCCTAGAAGGCGCTGGCCCCGCATCTATGACCGAGGCCCGCGCCTTGTGAGAAGCAGGTGTGCTTCGAAGGCTAAGAAGCCATCCCCCCTTCCCCGTACCCCCTTGTGCGCGCCGCCAACCCAAGCCCTTACTCCAGCGTCTTGGCTGCACACCAGCTTGTGCACAGAACGGGCCGCCTTCGAAGCCCGATGTGGCTCGCGCAGTCCCTCGGAGCGGCAGCTGTCCCCCCAGTTCCCCCCTCTGCGCGTGGCCTGCTGCATGGCCCCAGGGTCCGCAGCGGGCCCCCAGAGGCCCAGAGGGCCGATCGGCCACACGCAGGAGTGACACTGGGCAAGAGTGACCTTTGGTGCGCGGCTTTGTGGAGGCCGCGGGGGGAGACGCCCCTGCAGCCTCGCTTTCGGCGAGCGGGGGACCCCATTGGGCCCGCACCTAAAGGTCGCTGCTGCCGCGCTGCCGAGGACCTACAGCTCCCACTGGAATGTTGGAAAAGATCCAGTTCTCGAAAAAAAGCACGCGGCGCGTCGGCGCAACAAAGACCAGTCGGCAGCCCGTGCGTTCGGCCAGAGCGACCTCTGAGAAGTCCCTCCGGCGAAAGGTCGAAAGCAAGCGTCGACGGAGCTTTGGGGCCCTAGCCCATGAGGAGGAGGAGGAGCAGGAGGAGGCTAAGGAGGAGGAGGAGGAGGAGGCTAAGGAGGAGGCTAAGGAGGAGGAGGAGGAGGAGGAGGAGGAGGAGGAGGAGGAGGAGGAGGGGGGCAGGGTGACCTCTTACGCCTCGTCGAGCCGAGGACGCCGGCCGCCCGGGCCTCGCCTCCAGGCGCGGGCCCCGGCGGCGGCCCGAGAGAGCGAGAGGCTGCGCCCGGGGAGAGCACGCTCCGGGCAGGGCGGCGGGCGGCGGCGGCGGCGGCGAGCGGGC